CATGCCACCTCCAAGGACATAGCTTGGGAGGCTAGAGGCGGACATACTTTTGTTGTTTTTTTTTTTGATGTATTACATGTAATTTCAAGCCAAGGGCTTAATGTGTATGAGTTAGTACTCTTTTGTTGTAACCAAGTGTTAACTTGGAAAGCTGTAAGCCCGTAGGGCATTTTGCTTTTGTTGTTAACATGTAATACTTATGTAATAGAACTCTGATAAATGGAAGAATGTGAAACTTTTGCATGTCTTATTTGATGGGTTTAATGTTTTTATTTTGAGGGCGTTACATGAGAGGTTGTGGATAAAAAAAGAAGAATGCAAATTAAAAAAAAAAAAACTTGTAGGTATTTTCTTTTCCTTTCTTTGCCCTTCTTGTGTATTTTACAAAATTTTCTATAATACACGATGAAACACAACTTGAGGCCTCTAAAATGGATTTGATTCTCTAATTACATGTACTTGGCTCGATTTATGTGGTTTTTCAAATGGCCCAATAACACTTAATAAAATGAACACAATTCAAATAAATAGTTTAATTCTTTATCACACTTTTTTTTTTTTTTAAATGGATGAAAGTCGGTGTTTAAAACATAGTGATATTGTCTAATCAATATTGAGTGTATTTTGTTCAAATTTCCATAATTATAATAGCTTTTGTGTTGGGAACTTCTAAATTAACTATTTAATCATTAAAAACTTTGTGGATTAACAGACCTCCTTTGCCAAATAAATTAAAATTTCATTTTATTTTTCCATACATTAAAATGTTTAAAAAAGGTAATTTAAAAAAAAAAATAACACAAACTAAAAATTATCAAAAAGTTTTTAAAAAAGAAATAATATGATTTATCAATTACATCAAAATCAAAAGAACTTAATAATAATTACACATTTCAATCTTCAGTTTGTTAATTTTATAAGTGGAAATTTATGTGGGTGTATTAAGAACTGGGGAGGGTGTATTTAGCATAGTTCCCATTTATCTTTCGACGCATATAAACCCAGACAATATCATTATTTAGGAGTTGAGCTACTAGGGTTTGTGTTGTGACTTTCGTTTCAGCGCAACTGTGCACAAAGCAAATCACCTCGCCGCGCCTCCTTCTCCTCCTCCGCCACCATGGGTCGCATGCACAGTCGCGGGTCTCTCTCTCTCTACTCTTTCTCCTCCCTATCTATTTTCTCTCTCTACTCTCTCTCTCTCCATCGATATCTCATTCTGATCCTTTCTTTTCACTCTGCTTTCAGTAAGGGTATCTCCGCTTCGGCTCTGCCTTACAAGCGAACCCCTCCCAATTGGCTCAAGATCTCCTCCCCGGATGTCAGTCCCAAACCCTAACCTCTCTCTCTCTTTATATACATATATATATGTATGTATTATAGATTTCTTGTGATTTTGTAGGTAGAAGAGAACATCTGCAAGTTCGCAAAGAAAGGCATGACTCCATCACAGATCGGCGTCATTCTTCGTGACTCTCACGGTATTGCTCAGGTCAAGAGCGTCACTGGAAGCAAGATCTTGCGTATTCTCAAGGCTCACGGTATAACATTTTCAATCTCTGTTTGTTTCCCTAGAATTATTATTATATTTTTTTAATGTGTTTTGTGCTTGTGATTGTGCTTTGGTTAGGGCTTGCTCCTGAAATTCCTGAGGATCTGTACCACTTGATTAAGAAGGCTGTTGCGATTAGGAAGCATCTGGAGAGGAACAGGAAGGATAAGGATTCTAAGTTTAGGTTGATTCTCGTCGAGAGTAGGATTCATAGGCTGGCTCGCTACTACAAGAAAACTAAGAAGCTCCCTCCCGTCTGGAAATAGTAAGCTTTATCTCCACATTTGTTGGCTTTAATTATTGTGTTCTTTTTTTTAAGCCGTGAGTTATGTTACAATTTTTTGAAACGAATTGCTTGTCATTTTGCGGGCATTTTGCATATGGGGCATTTGATGGCATGGAATCAGCATTTAGAATTGAAATTAGACAAAAATTACCTTTCAAATTGGGACAAGAAGAATATTACTTTAGTTTGAGGGGAGCATCTATTTACACACACCCACTCTCTCTCTATACACATCCTTCACACACAACTTTCCAACACACTCTCTCATTAAGTGTGTAGGAAGAGGGGATATGGTGTGTGCATATAGAAGCTCCCATGAGCCTTGATTCCATCCATTCGATCGCTTCAATACAATAATTTTGGAGACACTTTTGGTCAAAATGCTAGAGAAAAGTGCTTTTCATCGTAATTACTTGTTCTGTTGAGAGAATTATGTTGTTGCACCCATGGTACTTTAGATGTCAAGTGGGATAAGCTGTGGTAGGTTGAAGGACATGTGAACTCCAGTTTGTAATGTTCTTTCTATTTCTGCATTTTTCTAAATGCTTGTTGAATTTTGATTGATATATGTTTATAATTTTCTTTTCAGATTCAGTTTTATGGTAACTTAAAAGCAAATTTGTTGTCTGTTCTGCAAATTGTTTGTAAGGATTTGTCATTGTATTTATATCTCATAGTAAGTTTTGTCATGAGAGCACTAACGGTCTGTATGATTAGCATGATTAATAGTAACAGGATTAACAATCCGTAGTGTAAGATTAGTTATGCAGCCGGATTTGTGAAATACATTATTTCCTATTGTCCACGTCTGTTTTACAATAGATGTGAAAATATGTAATGTTAATTATATGTATGTTTTGCATTAGTTTTAGGATTAAAAAAATTGTCAATTTTGTTGGATAGAATGGCTATTGGAATATAATCCGAATGATAAAAATTGCAATCAAACAACGGAATATGAGTTCTGTAGATTAATAATCACAATCCTATGTTATAACCTGCCAATTCAAACAAGCTCTAAGGGCACGTTTGTTTGGCCGCATGAAGGAAGGGATTGGATTGTGTATGAGGTGGGGTCCACCAATGGCACGTTTGGTTTGGGCATACATTGGATCCTGGAGGATTAAGACTCCAGGTGAATTACTAATCCCCCTGTGTGGGTGGATTAGGTTGGTTAGATTTTGGATGGGATTAGAAAAATAGTGAGTGAATTGAGTTTATTTTATATAAAAATGTTATTTTTTTTTAATTTTATTTATTTTTAATCAAATGCACCTGTTTATTTTAGTATTTGTTTTAGTTTTTTTTAATCTATAAATAATTTATTTATTTATTTTATATAAAAATAATTTAACAATCCTATTACTAACCATCTTCAATACTATCATCAAAACAAACATACTTTTACTTAATCCCCTCACTAACAATCTCCACATTAATAATCTCTTTACTATCCTTCCTCTCACTAACAATTTCATCAAACCTAATCCGCCAAACAAACGTGGAGGTCATAGTTTTTGTGCATATAGAATCCACCTTTCTTTCTTTTCTTTTTTTTTGTTTTGGCATTTGTTCTTCCAAGAAAGGCTGAATGTACCTCATGTAAATTTATAATTACTGTCCATTCATACTTTTTTTTTTAATTCTCCTGCTTAGTATTTGTTTTGGGCACATTGTGTACTTGAAATTGGAGCATTTTGTTTTACGACCTTGCTGAAGTGGTGCTTACTAGAGCCAGCTCTTCTCCTCAAGTTTATGTTATATCTTTTTCTTGTGAGTTGAATATGCCTTTGTTTGCACTTGAGCGAAGCAGTGCATTGTGATTTATGGAATGATGTCCTCCTCCCCTATTTCCATAATATGATATAACTTGGAATGCCCCTTGGTCCTATTCTTCATATCATATGGTGCTATGTAACTATTTACTGTTTTGTTGATGACGACTGCTCATTGATTATACACTAACATGAATCCTCATTCAGCGAGTCAACCACTGCCAGCACTCTTGTGGCTTAGGCAAAAAGCGTGTTCGACCTCAGCAAAGTTTTCGGATAATCATGAGGCATGGGTTCAGCAAGCAAGATAGTCTTCATGTTAGTTTGGATATTTTGTTTAAATGAGAATTGTAACTCATAATGGTGGGAAGATTTCATTATTTTGATTTGAAATGGATGACCAAATAGCAGCTTTTCTTTTTATGCTTGAAATTGAATGGTTATTTCCATTTGCTGTTGGAGGAAGTTTGTTTATGTTGAACATTTTGCAGCGTTCGTTGCATTTACCATTGCCTGGTAAGCCTATTTAATTACTGCATGAATTGCACACTAAATTTTTCTGAATACCGAAATGGATTTTCATCAATGGCCCATCAGTAGTTCACATACAATTTAATTGGCATATGAGGTCTTTGCTCCGTCTATTTATAAACGTTCGCAGCACTTGTGCTATAGCGACAATGGTGTGATGGTTTAGTGATTTATTGAAGTCTGTTTGAAGTGGAGGGTTTGATGTTTGAGGGCAGAACTTGATTAGGTGTGTATTCAAGTTCGTACCTGTTTGAGTATGATGCTTTGTGCCTGTCATGGGCATTATTTCGTTTAGTTCAGTTTAGTAAAAAAATGGACTATGTAACTGTTTATGGTTTCATAAAATTTCAAATCAAATTACATTGTGAAATTTTTGAAATCAGTATTAGTGAAACACACTTTGGTTCTGAATCACCGCATTTAGAAATGTCATAGTCGACAATATCAGGTTACTTTGGGGGTGTTTGTTTGAGTCTTTTGAGTTAACTTTTAATTTTAAAAAAGTTATTTTGGACTGTTTAGTTAAAATTATTTCAAATAATTTTTTATTTTATTAACTTATTTTAATTCAAAAATTTTAATTTTGAGAAGTTGATCACATTTTGTTTTTAATTATCAGTTTCTGTTGAATATATATTAATTTGTGGTTCTACTTTTAGATTTTTTTATTTTTTATGTTTTTTAAAAACAAAAAAAAGACTTAAATGGATCAGCCGATTCCGGCGGCACTGGAGGTTTCCGGCGGCGAAAGATTTGAGATTGGGTTGGAAGATTGGGAGAGTTTGTTGTCTGAATCGGGTCAAGATCAATCTATTCTCCGGTGGATTGCAACCGAATACCCGAATTCGACGACGGCAATGTCGCCCTTGCCGCCGTCGTCGATCAAGGCTCCACCGCCGTGGACGGTGTCTCTAATGGTGGTTCTCGTTCATCTTCATCCACGCCAAAAATTTCTTCTGAAACAGGAAATCCCAGAGCTTCAAATCTTGGGTTCAACAACAACACATAAATCCCCATTTTGGGTTCCTCAATCAACAATCTGATCTACCAGCTTGAAAACCCAGAGTCAAAGCCTCAGATTTTCAATACACGAGTATTCATAAACCAACACCAACAACATGGTCTTTTTTTCATTTTTTTTTGTGAAAATTTGCCCCCAAAACGACGTCGTTTTGGGGGCTGCAGGGAAGGGCTGCCGAAAATGGCAGCCGAGGATCCGGACTCTTGATGTTTGAGGGCAGAACTTGATTAGGTGTGTATTCAAGTTCGTACCTGTTTGAGTATGATGCTTTGTGCCTGTCATGGGCATTATTTGGTTTAGTTCAGTTTTGTAAAAAAGTGGACTATGTAACTGTTTATGGTTTCATAAAATTTCAAATCAAATTACATTGTGAAATTTTTGAAATCAGTATTAGTGAAACACACTTTGGTTCTGAATCACTGCATTTAGAAATGTCATAGTCGACAATATCAAGTTACTTTGGGGGTGTTTGTTTGAGTCTTTTGAGTTAACTTATAATTTTTAATTTTAAAAAAATTATTTTGGACTGTTTGGTTAAAATTATTTTAAACAGTTTTTGATTTTAATAATTTATTTTAATTCAAAAAAATTAATTTTGAAAAGTTGATCACATTTTGTTTCTAATTATTAGTTTCTGTTGAATATATATTAATTTGTAGTTCTACTTTTAGATTTTTTTATTTTTTATTTTTTTAAAAACAGAAAGACTTAAATGGATTATAGATTATTATTATTATTATTATTATTATTATTATTATAAAAAATGTAGACAAATAGTGAATAACAAAAAATAAAAATTAATTGAAAAAGCTACTTCACAGCTTATTTAACAAATACTACTCAGCAACTTAAATCTATAATCCAACAGCTATAAATTGATGAAGTTACTTTTTCATTTATTTCACAAATATTATTTAGTAATTTAAATTTATAATTTAACAATTATATTAAATAGATTAATATTTTTTTATTAATATTAATTATAATTTGTTAGATTATAATTTATAATCTATTTTTATAGTGACACCAAACGGCCGTTTTACAATAGTCATCAATGAAATGATATGGGTGAGTCCATTAGTCACGTTAAAAGGGTAAGTTTGGGAAGACTAAAAAAGTGTACTTTTGTCTTTTTGGACTAAAAAATTGAGGTTGAAAATATGGATGTTTGGGTTAACTTTTTGACTTTTTATTGAAAAATGTGTAATAAAAAATTGTAAAAATTGATTTGTAGAGAAAAATTTGAATTGAGAGTTGTGCATTGTTATTTGTTAACAGTTTTTTTTTTCTATTTTTTTGAACTTCATCTACGGGCGGATTAGGTTCATGCGGGTGCGGGATGGTTGATCCGCCATCCGAGCCATATCCGTGAATTTTGAAATATTTCATTCATATCTATCTATCAAAAGACACGCATTCGCCTAAAATCAATCAGGTTCGATCGGTTTCGGTCGGGTTGAGTGAGTTGGACGGATCTATAATCACCCCTAACAATTGCAGTTGACAAGGGTTGCATCGGTCATTCGAATTAAGGGTGGGCAGCGGATATACCGATCCGTCCAAACCGATCGAACCGAATTGATTCGTGCGCATTTTGGACAGATGTGTGATGACGAGCGGATGATTAGGAATTGATTTTTTTCAATTTGTCTAGTTTTTAATAGATGGTGAATTTGAGATTCATTTGGCCACAATTGAACCGACAAACTGTTAGCACCCCTAAAGAGATCGACTAAATAAATGACCAAACATCTACCTGGACTATCACCTAAGGTTAGTGGGACCCACCACTAAACAACTCTCATTTGCTCCAACTCTCATTTGCTTCTCATGCGGTAGAGAGATAAGAAGGAGAAAAGAAAACCAAAAAGAAAAAGACAAAAAAAAAAAAAATGGCGCCAAAACCCCTCAACTTCTTTCAGTCCATGATAGCAGAATAGTCATCACCGAATAAAAGAAAAAATCACCGCCCAAGAAAGTGGAGTGCAAGGAATGAAGTTGATTGATCAAATAAGTTTTTAATTTGTGAGATCTAATTTGTTTGTATGGTCTAACATGCTAAAATTATAAATTTTAATTTATTTTTAAATTTTTGGAAAGCTTTTTTTTTCTCTGATTTTTATAAGGAATTATATTTTTTTAGATTTATTATTTTTTGATTGAACAATGACTCTTTTTTTTATTATTATTGAGAAATTCATACTCTAACATTGTGTTTGGTTCATAGATTTGAGTCAGATTTAAAAAAAGAAATGTGTCCCACCTTTTTATTTTTCATTTCCAAATCCCTAATGATCTGGTTGGTTCATAAATTTAGATAAAGATTTAGAAAAGAAAATGAAAAAATGGATAAAACATAAATGGAATGTATTTATATTTTATTTTTTTATTTTATTTTATTTTTAAAATTTTTATTCAAATTCATAAACTAAACAAGCCTAAATGTTTGTTAAAAGTCTTGAAAGAAAGGAAAAGGTTGAAACAGTGAACTGAATTATTATGTTGTGCTCTCTTTTTCAATCTTAATGAAGGTTGTGTTGCTCTGCCTCAAATTTTTTATTTTTTTATTTTTTTAAATTTTAATACTCTTCTGCTTTACATAAATAAAATCTTTATTTTAACTTTAATATTTGTCAAAAGTCTTGGAAGATTATTTTTTTGGTTTGAGAGATTTGTTATGAATAATAATGCACTATTTTTGTTCAATTTTGGTGGCTTAAATGTTTGCCAAATTTTAGAATGATGTTTATAATTCTTTGTTATATTTTAAAAGGATGAAAGACAGAGTAACAAGTGATTATAACAACATAGAATGTAATGGAGAAAGTAAGTGCAAAAGTGATTGAAGATAATATTGATAATCAAACAGATGAAATAAGAAATGCAGAAGAACATTTAGAGGATCCGAAGCCCGAGATGGTATTTGACTCCATAGATGAGGTTATGAAATTTTACACAAGATATGCAAAGGAAAAAGGTTTTGCCGTGTGCAAAAGAACTTCTAGTAGAGGAAATGATGGGGAGATGAGATATGCGACAATTACTTGTAATCGCGGTGGAAAGCAAAAGATCCGATCAAGCAACCTTGTTAAGTGCAACCACAATTGAAAACAAAATGCAAGACAAGGGTCACGACAAATCTATGCACTAGTGGAAAGTGGACATTGAGCTTCATTAAGCTTGACCATAACCATGGACTAAGTCCGGGGAAAACTCAATTCTTCAAATGCAATCGGATACTTCAACCACATGTCAAACGAAGGCTTGAATTGAATGATATAGCTGGCATCAAAATGAATCAAAATTTTAATTGACTTGTAGTTGAAGGAGGTGGACATGAGAAGCTAACATTTTTTGAGAAGAACGCGAGAAACTATCGTAATGGAATAAGGCATTTACAGCTTAAGGGAGGAGATGCTGCTGCAATGCAAAATTACTTTCTAAAAATGCAATCTGACAATTCTAACTTCTTTTCCATGATTGATTTGAACGAAGAAGGCCAATTGAGGAATGTACTTTGGGTAGACACAAGGAGTAAGGCGGCTTGGCGTGAGTTTGGTGATGTAGTAACATTTGATACGACATATTTGGTTAATAAATATGACATGCCATTTGCTCTTTTTGTTGGAGTGAGCCACCATGGACAATTGATATTGCTAGGATGTGAGTTAATCTCAAGTGAAGACACACAGTCATTTACATGGCTATTTCAATCTTGGCTCACATGCATGTTTGAAAGCCCTCTGAGTGCAATAATCACAGATCAAGACAAAGCTATGCAAAAGGCTATTGCGAAGGTTTTTCCTAATGCACGACACAGGTGGTGCTTGTGGCACATCATGAAAAAAGTGCCCGAAAATTTGAGAAAGTACAAAGAATATGAACCAATCAAATTTGAAATGCAAAGTGTTGTTTATGATTCATTGACCAAAGAAGAATTTGAAAAAAGATGGGATA